TTGCAGTTAGTCAGGACGATGCAAAGACATTGGTGAAATATTTTGGCTTTAGAATAGTTCAGTGGAAGAAAGCAGGAAAATTAAGAGTTTTGCCTGAATCCCCAGAAATGTTTGCAATCCATATATTATTGACAGGCTCCAAGGGTCTGTGTCTGCATTTTCAGCAAAGTAGCTGTAATTGTCTTGCAGAGTTTTAGGGAGGTTCTATTAGAAGAAATGCCATAACTCTTCACAAATCCAGCAAAAATGTTGAGATTAAGTGTTTAAAAAAAAATAATTATGGAGCTAGAAGAAGACTGTTTCTCTTCATTTTCTATTGAGTGGAATTTTAGGGGTATTCTGTGGGTTTTTTTTTCCTCTGCATCTTCTAAAAAGTCCTAAATCTTGTCAACTGACTGTTAGAAGACAACTAAAATTTAAGTGTCTTGAACTATATTCTTGATGAACCTTACAAATTTTATATACAGGAAATCAACTGATTTCATTAAACATTTCTGAAGTTTGTAGAGGCATTAAAATTATTTGCAATAAAACATTTGTGAGAAACACAATTATTTTACTGATTAATTTGCTAATTAGTTAAATTGTAGCTAGCTATTTTGAAGTAAAATGGTAATTCTAAAAAAGTATTTTGGTACATTTAGGATGAAATTATATGTTTGGGTCCCAGTCTATGCTTTGCAGATGCATCATAAATGTTCAGGTTCTTTCAGTGTTTTTTCAGTGTTGCCTGGAGAAATATTTTTTCAACATGGAACACCAGGTACCTGGATATTAACTGAATTCTTTATGCAGCATTCTTTATGCAGCACTTTACTGAATTCTTTATGCAGCATTCTACAGCTCTGACTCACTTTGCACAGCTCTTTCTTGTGCAAAACATGGCATAGCTGACACCAAAATAATTGTCTAAATAAATTGTACACACAGTAATGGGGTTTGTAAGAGCATTCCCTTTGCTCGCATTAATCCATTCTAGGCAGTAATTCAAATACTGGCTTCATACAGCACAGTGAGACACTAATTAGTGCCTTCTCTTATTCTTTTTCTTTTAAGTGTACTAAAGAAGAGCAGGAGAAAGTAAATAGATTCCTCATTTTATGATGTGAGAAAGGAAAGTACAAATGTGTAACTGCATTTGATATTTCTCTGAGTCTGCTTTTAACTTCTCCTTTTGAAGGAACAGGAGATGCTGTAGTTACTCTGAAAAGCTTTTTGTAAATACCTGCTTTTCTAAAGCTTTTCAGTGGCTGAAACAGGAATGGCCTTGTCCCAAAAGAGCTAATGCCACCAGTTCTCCCTTTTTCATTTCTAAGTCTGTGACATGTAATTTTTCTGTTGGTGTAGCAACTAACATTAAGAAAAACCTTTGCAAAGGTTTGTACAAGAGGCTTCATTACTTTTGTATAACATTTCCTGCATCTTAGTTTTGACAATGCTTATTTAGTATGGAGATGGAGAGAGAGCTGAGGTGACAGTGAATAGCTGGAATGAAGCTTAGAAAATTCCATTTTTCTCCCAGAGGGAAGCTTGGTTTTGTAATAAGAACACTTCTTCATGTCACGTAAGTAAAAACAGTGGGTCAAGTAAGCTCAGGGACAAGAACCTCTGACTTGCAGCCCAGTGCCATTGTTAGAAAGACAAAATCCAAGTCCTAAAAAAAGCAGGTGGGTCTGGATCACAATTCCACTCAGTTGTGCTGATCACATGAAGATTCATGATGCACACTGAAAAGAAGATTGTTGGGGCTACATCAAATTCCAACAAACCCTGTATGTCACACACTCACCAAGAAGGATTGTGAAGGGATAGTCTCAAATGTAATTAAATGCATTTTTAAGCAAAATTAACTCAGCAGGCATAATAACATTGTTTAAATTAAATTGGCTTTTGTCAAGAAGGAACTCTGAGTGAACTGATGAATAGTTTGAAGAAGCAGGATGTGTTTGCTTCTGAAGCATTCACTGTATTTCTTTTTGAAATATTATCTTGCCTTTTTATTAGTGCCTTATTAGTGTATCAAACCAGGCATTTCTTCCAAACATAAATTTGAGGTTTTTCTCCCTTTTAGCTGGAAATGCAAAGAAGCACATCAGTATCACAGGCCACATTAAAATTTTAACAGAGGGCCTTTTTTACAGAAATGCCAAAAAGTCCTTAATTTAAAATGCAGAACATACAAGATCTCAAACCACTGGGGGAGAAAAAAACCCAAAAAAACCCAAACGAAAACAAAACAAAAAAAATGAACCAAAAACACAGAAAGAGGACACTTTCACTGAAATATCTTCCTTAATTTTTTGACTGCTAGAAGGTACTTCTGAGGTCTCTATTTTTCACGAGTACCTCCAGGAAGTGATAGCACAACCCCTTTAGCACAGAGTTGGCAAAATTCACACTCTGCTCTCCATGATGACTGCAATTACACTTCTGGAAAATAGCCCAGGGAGTGCTCAACTGGACGGTGAGAACTTGCATATCTCAGCTTCCTCTACAAAGGCTTTTTTCTTTTTTTCTCTCTTCTTTTTTTTTTTTTTTTTTTTTTTTTTTGTTTGTTTCCAAAATCTGTGCCTAGCACAAGTATTATCCAGGAGAAAAATGCAAATAGCTGTTAGCTGTTCTAGAGTAGCTCTCGCTGTTAACAGCTATGGCTGTTTATCAAAAATCTCTATTTTATGCACATGATCACCTTTAAGTTTAGAAAATTCCATCAATAGCTTATTTTTCTGATATTTACTGGTAGATTAGATTAAGGTCAAGAGAAATAAAGCTTGCAAAGTGCTCAATCCTACCTGAAATTTTTGTTCGTAACTGTTTTTGAACTGAACTCTGTGTAATTTGCACAAGTTCTCCCCATTTGGAAGAATTTGCAGCTGTGTGAACCAGGCTATCAATAAATGGTGAAGTTCCTTGATTTCTGGTGTGTGGAATTAGTAGAGAAGAAAATTGACTGCAAAACTTCTGTCTCAGAAGACAAGAGGGTTGTCACAGTACTCTGGAAAAGGGCCACAAGCGCTGCAATTCATCCTTAATGAAGCTGCAGTCTGGGACCATTGCTGGCTAATGCTTCACTGCACTGCAAGTGTTACTGATGGAGATTGGAGTCACCAAAGAAAGAGCAACAAGAACACTTTATCTTTGCTCCAAATAGGCCACAGATTTCTGTAATCTTGGTTTACACATCCCTTGGTCCATGTGGTCTGTTATGAATCACAAAGTGTCATTAAAAAATATGGGCTGGTATGGGCAGTGCTACCTGAATTATATGGGCCCTCCAGTTTCTGTGAATGGCTGCTTTCTATCCCAAGAGAAACACAAAAGTTTCTCAGAAATTCTCCTTGTACTTGGCTATCTGTTTGGCAATGCTGTACCTGAGCTCTGGATGTGCAAGCAGCCGTCAGCCCTTCCTTTCACCAGCCCCCCAAACAACATTTATGAGATGAAACTGTAAAAAAACCCGTGTAAATCTGGAGCTGTTATTTTAATACTTTCAATTAAATCATGCATTACAGCATATATCCACTTGGGTATCTTTTAGATAATGATTCACACTGTTATAGAGAGCAATGTGTTATTCTAGTAATTGCAGGCAGAGGATGTACCTGAGCATTTAATTTAGAGCAGGTCCCTTCAATAGCTTTGCCTGATCAAGTCAAAAAACAATGCTGTGAGTATACCATGTAGCAAACTCAAATTATCTTTTAAAGGTGATGTATTTGTATACTAGCCGAATAAATATTGTATCTCCCAATAATAATTTTTTTCCAACACATGCATTATTTGGAATAACCCAGCAATTTTTTAAAAATACTTTGAGGGTAATGAGTAGCATTACATTGCTATTGTACATAAACTGCAAATTTCATGCTATTTTTTTAATGTGAAATGATTCTGGTTGTATGCATCAGAATTTTTTGAAAGTGATAAAATTTCACAGCTGTGAAAAAGAAAGGCTCAACTATTTTCATGTGTCCTACCTCTGTTTATTCCACCAGTTTCAGAATAGTATTTTAACATGTAAGGAAATGCATGTAAGTGCTAAATTAGTTTCTTAATCTTTTTTAGGTTCCTGCCATATGAGCTCTTCAGGTACCTGAGGGCAAATTAATCATTCAGTTCATCTGGATTAATCGAGATGCAGTTTTCACTGTGTTGCTTTTGAATTTTGGAGTATTTTGTAATACTTGCAGCTGTTTGATAAATCCAGCTCACTTGAACCATTGATGGTCATACAGCTTAATAAGTGCTGCCCATGGGTGTAAGGACAGCTATGACAAGTGCCTTTTATTATCCTCTGAAATACAATTTTACCTTTTGGACACTTCCTTCACCTGGTGCAGATACACCTGTTTAACAAAAGTTGAAAACCCGTAAAACTGTAAAACAAATACTGTTTTTATTCCCTTTCCAAACACACCCTGAGAAATCACAGAATCGCCCTCTGAGCTGCCAGTTCCTCATTACTAAACCCGCGCTGAAAACTAGGAGATGATCCTGACGGGATCCGCACCCTTCCCAACCGGGTCGGAAAGATGCGGTACGTGCCCTGGGTCCGCACTGTGCCCCCTGCGTGGGACGGCGGGAAGGGAGAGGAGAAGAGGGGACGGGGAGCGGGAGGAGAGGCGAGAAGGAGGAGAAGGGAGGAGAAGGGAGGAGAAGGGAGGAGAGGTGCGCTGCGGAGGCGCTCCCGCCCGGCTCCGCTCCGCCGGCTGCTCCGCCCCGCTCCCGGCAGGTCGGGACGGCGGCCCCGACTCCCGCATCGCGGTCCTGCTCCCACATCCCGGCCTCGCTCCCGCATCCCGGTCCTGCTCCCGCATCCCGGCCCGGCTCCCAGCCGGCGAGAGGCGCTGCGGGAGCGCGGCCGCGGGGCGGGAGAGGTGCGGGGGGACGCGGCGGAGGCGGCTCCGCTCCTCCAGCCCGGGAGCCCCGGGGGGAGGTGACAGCCTGGCTGTGGCGGGGCTGCACCTGCGGGGACGCTGCGAGCCCGCCCGTGTCCCGTCGGAGTGCGGGGCTCTCCGTGCCCGAGCCCGCGGGAGAGGGACTTCACCGCCCAGCCCCACCGGGCTGCCGAGCTGGCAGCAGCAGCGATGGTGCTGCTTGTACGTGATTTTCCTCTTCTGCCGAGGTTTCTGGTGAGTCCTTCATTCTTATTAGCAACTGGTTTGAGAGGGGTATTTTTGTTTAGCTCTCTTTTTTCCCCTTTTCTTCACTCCGAGAGCAGAAGCCGAGGAGGCAGCCTGCGGCACGGGGACCCTCCCGCCGGCGCTGGGGCTGCGCTGGCCCGGCTCCCCCCGCGGAGACCGGGAGCTTTGGTGCTAATAACCTGATAGGAGATGGCTGCATATTTGGTTGGGGGTTTATTTTTTAACAGTGCTTTCTACAATGTGTCAGTGTGAAAATCCCAGGTGGCGGATCTTTCCCCTCAGTGATGCCGTCTGGGGTTGCTGTGCCGTGGGAGGGATGATGAAGGACGGGCTCGCAGGTGAGCGGCTCTGTGGCGCTCAGGTGAAGATCGGCTCTTGCCGTGCGCTGTCTATATTTTTCTTCCTTTAAAAAGTACAGTCACTTGTTCTTAAATGCAATAATGTATAACTTCAATTTTATTTTATGGCTATAGAAATAAATGAAAAAATGATGGAGGCTGAGAACCAATTACACAGTAGTTTTGGATACTTGATGGCTACTAAATGCAGCTAATGACCACTCATTTCAGTATTCCAAATGTGGAGTCATAGCACTGGAATAGTAAAGGATTCTGCCCCCCAGAGTTAGTGACTTTTGGAAAGTCTTGGCAGGAAACACTTAATGTGACTGCCAGAGAAATAGCCCTTTCAATGAATTTGAGACGACAGAGGAGAAGGTGGGACAATTACTCCTGAAATGCACAAGCGTTACTGTTTTGCTGTGTGCATTTCAGCTGGGAGATTTTTTCAAGGTGCAGCCCATTAAGCCTTTTAAAGACCCTTGCAGTAGAGATGCTTGGAGCATATGTTGTTTTTGGTGGATCCAAAAGGAAGAAGAAGTATTTGGATTCTTGCCTAAAAAGGTTGAGGTGAGGAATGGTCTCCTTACTGAAGAAAAAATGGGATTAAGAACAGCCAGTGCTGGAAATTTGAACATCTTAGGACTGACAGAGAGGGAAATTTTTTAAAATAAAAGCATTCATTGCACTATTAAGTTCTTACAAGTTTTCATCTCGAAAAAAACTAAATCAGGGATGTTTTTTCTAAAGGCAAGTTTATTTCTAGCAAGACTTAGTATGGGGAAATCTTATGGGCTATATGTAGGGGCAGCCAGATGAGTTATCATAAAGAGCCCATGTTGCCTTGATTAGGCATGTAATCAGGAAAAACTCCATCATCTCCAAGAGCACACCCTCTGTGATTCCTTTACTTCCCAACTTCCTTTTCAGTAAAAGGGCTCAATAATACTGCCAGCAGCCCTGAGGAGAACTTGAGGGTGTTGATGGATGACAAGCTCAGTGTGACCTGGCCATGTGCCCTTGCATCCCACAAAGCCAAACATGTCCTGGGCTCCACCAACAGCAGCATGGGTAGCAGGTCTGGAGAGGGGATTCTGCCCCTCTGCTCTGGTGGGACCCCACCTGCAGTGCTGCATCCAGCTCTGGGCCTCCAACATGGGAACAATGTGGACCTGCTGGAGAGAGTTCAGAGGAGAACACAAAGATAATCAGGGGCTGGATCACCTCTGATGTGAGGGCAGGAGGAGAGGGTTGAGGCTGTTGAGCCTGGAGAAGGCTCTGGGGGGACCTTGTAGCAACTTTCAGTACCTAAAGGGGGCTACAAGGAAGCTGGAAGGGACTTCTGACAAGGACATATAGTGATAGGACAAGGGGTAATGCCTTTAAGCTGAAAGAGAGTTGATTTAGACTGAATATTAGTAAGAAATTCTTCTCCATAAAGTTGGTGAGATAATGGAGCAGATTGCCAGAGAAACTGTGAATGACCCATTCCTGGAAGTCTTGAAGACTATGTTGGGTGGGGCTTTGAGTGACCTGAGCCAGTGGAAACTGTCTCTGCCTGTGGCAGGTGGGATGGAACTGGATGAACTTTTAGGTCTCTTTCGACCCAAGCCATCTGTGTTTCTGTGACATCAATGGTTAGATTTTCACTATATGTTTTTCTGTGTCTCTTTAATATAAATTATTCCCCAAGTGAAATTAGATCCAGGGGTCTCAATGTTTTTTGTTTTTGTTTTCCAGCTAAGCAATTATGGAAGACCAGACAGATCTGAGTAAGGTTTGAGGAATGTGGTTTGTAAGGCTCAGGTGTGGGTACAATTTCCAGACACTATCAAGGTGTTTAAACACTGGAAGTTATTTAACATGTTAACATTTCTAAGCAGCCTTCAACACTATGTTTGCCCTTAAGAAATATTTAGTAGCATGTTTGACTTTTTTAGGTTTCATGGTAGTTGAAATCTTAAGCTCTTTAGGGATGAAGAAATGCTTATTTAACCAAAATTCCATGTTAGTATTGGGTTGTAGCTGTACTTTTTACAGTGGAAAGACAGTAGGCAGGAAGGATCTTACTAAACAATTTTCAGTATGATGGTGTAGTCACCCAGTCATTTGCCTGTCTGCAAAACATGTTCATATTACATAATGTTCAAAGTCTCCTTATCAAGAGAGATAAATTTCATATCTGGTGATTAACTACCATCTCTTAGTGAGACATTTGGTCTTGTGGGGTGGAGGGAGGAAGGGAATCTGTTTGCTAGGATGATGGCTGAAGACATCTGCAGTGCAGGACTGTGTTGTGACTGAGCACTGTTTCCCAGTGTTTTATTGCTCTTTGCCTTGCCTACATTTACCCTGTCTTCTAATCAAACTTCGTTCATAGCAGGGATGAGCACATTCGTGGGGCTCTTCACCCAGAGCCTGGAAACAGGAAAGCAGAATAGGCAAGCACAGTGGGAAGAACAGACCTTGAAGACCAGCCTGGATTTTGTTCTAAGGGTGGTAGGTAGGGTGTAGTTTTTTGGTAGGCACATCCCTTATGTGTATATTTCTTTGAATTTCACAGTAACAAACTCTTTGAAGGAATGCATAAATGTATATATACAATATATAGCAATGTACCTTTCTGCATTCTTTCTGCTCCAAACACCCTGGGTCTGTTGTTAAAAAAAAAAAAAAAAAAAAAAAAAAAAAAATCTGTTTTAAGCTTGTGGCTTAGTCTGTCCTAGGTGTGACTGTGTCTCCTGGTTTTGTGGGGCTTTCCATGTGCTGGAGCACAGCTTCAGCACAGAATCAGTTGCTTGGGAACTGAATTTGTATGTTTGTTTTTTTTCTTTAAATCTTTCTCTGCCTGCACTGAAATTTCTATATTAAATTACTCTAATCTGGACCTTTTTATTTGCTTCATAACTTTTCCCTGGGTATGCTTTTTGTATTGCTTAGAAACAGAAATGGAATCAGAAATGAAACAAAATTCCATTGTGGTTTGAACTGTATTCCACAAATGAGTATTAACAGGAAGCTTCTTAAATAAGCATTTTATTTACTTGGAAGGGAGTTGCTCTGCACCTTGACTTTAATGTGCCTCTGGGAATACTTAAATTACCTGGGGCATCCCTCACTGTGGACATAAAACTTTTTTCCTTTTTTTTTTTTGTGTAAGAGGCTATCTTTCACCACAACCTGTGCTTTTTAGGAGTGGTTTCATTCTGTGTGGGGCTGACCTGGGGCTCCAGTGATTTTCAGATCACTCTGCACCTTTCACCTGCCACCTTTCACCTGTACAAGCTGTGCCTGGCAAGCTGTGTAAGTAGCAGCACATCCACAGGTGGGAGAAAAACATGTTCACAGGATGAGGGTCTCCAAGGTTTTATATAATTTATAAAATATATACAGAGGTGGAGACAATGGAAGAATTGTGTACAGCACCAATGTGTTTCTAGGGCTTGAACAGGAGTGGAGCTCGGAGGAGATGTTTGGGTTTGGGGTTTTTTAATGTGTATGATAAAAAAGTTGCAAATGTTACCTGAATAATATGGAAGCAAATGTCCATGACCACAGGAACGTTGTTTCCAAGGATTCTGCTATTGAATATCTGAGAAAAAGTAGTGTTTGAAAGCAAACACTTGGAGATTATATTTTTCATTTGCAGTTACTGCATGACACAGCTGATGGTTTTTTGAGCAGTTTTATGTGCTTTGAATCTGAGCTTGCCTCCTTACTTCTGCAGCCATTGCAGAGCTCAAGAGAAGCTCAGTCTCAGTAAGAGTTCTACTTATTATTGGTTCTAAAACCTCATTCATTTTCCTGAAACTTTGCACTAAATCCCTGATGCCTGGTGAGTCAGGGAAGAGAAAAATGGAGGAAATAAGGATCCAAATTCCCATTCTCACAATATTAAGAAAATAAGTAGGCTAATAATGCCAGATTCACAGGTGTTTATATACACGTGCAAATTTGGAAGGCCTCAATAAATAAATATTCAGTTAAAGGCTTCAGTTAAAAAAAAATTCAATTAAATAAATATATGGTCTAGGAATTAGCATCCATTCACTGTAGGCATTAGTGCAGCAATGGCATAACTGCATCATGGAGTGTGTTAACATCAACAGCTGTATATGTTATCAACAGCCAAGAACATGAGATTTGTGTGGGGAGTGGAGAGTCTTAATCCTGTCTAAACTAATCCAGAAGACTGAAATATGAGGAAAGTGTGTGTTCTTGAAACCTGTAGGTTTCAAACATATTTGAGTTTTGCTCTGAATATTAATAGTAAAAAAAAAAAAAAAAAAAAAAAAAAGCAACACAGCTGTCTGTATGGAAATGTTGCATTGAAGAAGCCACTTTTCCTAACAGTGTTTTCTAAACTAGCTGTTTTTTTTCTGTAACATTTTTCATAGTTGCCAACTGTAAAACAGCTTCCTTGATTCTAGTCATGCTCTGGAGTGGAAGTGCAAGTATATTTGTTCTCAAGGAGAATTTCTATTCCTTTTTTTCTACAGATGCATTTTAAACCTCTTAAATATTTTAAAATTCAGAAGCTACGGTGGTGAAGGTGTTTATTAACTGTTGGCATCTTTATCCAGATTAGAGCTCTCTATTGTTGTTACCAATGTGAAGTTTTAGAGGGGAAAAAATAACGAGTTTTTAATG